TCTCTCTGTCAGTGAATTTCACGGAGCATGCGAGCAGTGCGGTATGCCACCAGTACAATTATCGGTGGCAATGGCTCAGACGGGCTCGGTGCAAACGAGATGGTGTCAGTCTCCCACTGCATAAGTCACCACGATGAGCCCGATCATTAAAGTGAGAATAGCACGAAGTAGTAGAAGCCATTCACTCCACTGACCCTCAATGGTACTGTAGCGTTAGCTCAAGGTCGCAGTGGCCTGTGGCGCGCACGAAGGGGCGGCATCCTGGTGCCCATTATGTGACAAAAGCTCAATTGTAGTGCCACATCTGATCATACCCTTCCGGTTTACTCCTTTCGTACACACCCTACTTACCTCTGACTGTACTTATCCGAGATGGGGCAGGGGAAAGCACGCATCACATGCATTGGCCATTCTACCTTCTCCATACCTCAAAGAACCACCCAACTCCCTTGACACTTTGGCCAAATCGGGCACATGCGTGCAATCCGTGCTGCTCAACAGTAGTTTCCTATACGACCTTCGCCCGCGAAATAATTCTTGTCGCTCAGTTCCGTAGGGTAATCTGTAGACAAAATGGGGCAGAGAAATGCAATTCGGTAGGGACCAGTGCAAATTGGTTAGCACTTCCCTCGGAATTTTTTTCCTTCTAGACGGTGACTGTCCAATCAAGTCCTTGGGCAGGGTATTTCTCCGTTACTTACAATACTTAAAACCCTCAACAATCCATAATAGTTGCCCCAAGGAGTGGAAAATGCGGCATGTTTATAACTTCAAGCAACAGACTTCATCGTGCCAGCCACGATGTCCCCATAGAAATATCTTGGGGATGCTCCGATTCCACTTGTTCTGCCAAAACTTTCTACTCAGATCCAACTGTTGGACAGGATTGCAAAACTCCTCCTTCTTGTTTCCATAGGAGCCGGCTATTGTCTCCAGAATCTAAACGCAGGGTTCCTTCAGCACGGACCTTGGGCAAGCCACCGGTCGGCTGGCCGTCAGCTTTTCTAGTTTACCGTAAGCAGAGAGGGGAGTTTGATACAACTCTAAGAAATGGACATGGGGCGTATCATGATGGGCAGCATTTTTTAGCTGATTTTCGATGACTTGATCCTGCTTTCACGATATTTTCTTTGTAGGAAAAGCCCGGAACAGCATGGGTAGACGGCCTGAGTCTTTTGGGACCAGTTGTCGGCAATTTTTGTATGGACCTTGCTATCAAGAAGGCTAAAGATGTTGGTATCGCCTGTGTATCTGCTAAAGGTACGAGATGGCAGGTACGGGCTACCCTTATCAGCATTGTAGCACAATCTTTCCAGGCTCAAATCATTATGGTATCGCTGGTTGGTACAGTATGAGGGCGATGAGACAAGGTCTCATTGTAAGTTACATAATGAAGTACTTTACGCTCCAATTTCAAAGCAATGCACGACAATGTGGTGTAAATAAAAGGGGAGACAACGGATGGTAAGTAAGCTTCTTTTGGAGATACGGTCGAGCAGCTACCTCGCAGCGGTCATATCGGTATCTGAAGCTCTTATTCGGGAGTTGATTGTGTAGAATTCAAGGGAAAGGACGAGTTGCTGCGAGAGGACACGGGAAGTGATTATGTATCTTGGGCGAGAGGGCGCAGATTGGACTGGAGGCTGAATCAGATGCTCTGAGGGATCGAGCACAGGTCCCACCGTTTCATGGAGGACCGCAATAAGAACTACGTTCTGAACAAGGTTTCAATGTCAAAGTACCCGATTACACTCGCCGATATCGCCACAATCGCCGTAGTCTGCATACCTCTTCTGGCAGTTAGCCAACACTACCACCCCGAGTATCTTTCCACCTACATCTAATATGAGGCGTTTGTATTCGATTTAAACCTATCCTTCACTTTCACATGACACTGCATCCTTGAAATTTAAGGGAATATCATCCACCAACACATCCCCTATAATGTTTCCAACAAGAGCAGCGAAACCAGCTCTTGGCACCAATCCGATAGCAATCGGCGCTGAAGGTACTGGAGGCGATTCTTATCTTCTCGACATGGCCACGACCACTGTGGCAATCGGAAAAGTACGAGTTTTTTCTGTGGTTTTGGGGAAATGCAGTCTAGAAGGCACTCCACCGCTTTCTCTTTACAGTTTAGGGCT